TAACCCTGCGAGTTTCTAAAGCCATCAACTTTATAGGGGGATAACTATTTAGGTAGGCATATACATACATACAAACACATGGATATCCGGCCTAGTACCTACATATATTAATCGTCACTCAGAAGCTTAGTCTCATGTTGAGCGCCACCAATGAGAAGAAATGAGAGTAGGGATTGCTGCTGAAAAGTGTGCGTCTGTCTGTTTATATTGGTTAAAGCACTAACAGCAACAACAGCGAAATTCACGTTGGTATTCGCGACGAATATGAGATCATGATCGCTACCTGTGCAGAAGCTCCGTAATGGCCAACTCTCACCAATATATTTGCAAAAGTAAGTGATCAATGAAAGGAAATACTGCTGATTGTTGCGGGTCTGCCTAAAGGATAACTGCCGGTGGTAAGCAGCAGAGGGAAGATGCCAACTCTGGAGAGGCTTCTTTAGCAGAACGCTTCTGATTGCTACTTGTCTGGTTGGGGAAGAAGAGCGCATACGAATGGGCAATAATAACGCTTTCAATATCTCTCATTGTTCGACAAGTAAGCAATAATCAATGCATTTGATGTTTGCATACATAACTTTGTGATTGTTTATTTATAACTATACCTACATACATACATACATACATACATAGCTATGAGCAAAGTTCGCACTAATTGGCTTAAAGTACTACGCCTACTGTAAAGAAAAGCTGACGCGCAAGCACAACTAGAGCGTGCAGTCTCGGAACATGTTGGACGTTGCTAATTTTTACCATTTGCGAAATTCTCTTTTGCCTATTTAAACGAAAATGTTACTAATTCTAGCACAAAACTTGGTTGTACAGAAAAATGCCAAATTGCTTGCTACCATCCCCCATTAGATATACAAAAAAAAGACAGCTTTATGTAGTAGTGCTTACGCAGCTGTGAGTGTCTCTTTTTGCCTACCAACTTCTCTCTGAGTGAAGGAGCCACCAGTGTAGTCTGGCCAATTGTTCGGTGAATGACCTCTTGCAAGCGGATCCTTGAACCCGTTTATGAATTAAGATATACAGTTTCAGTTCCCACTTTGTTGTTTCCTCACATACCTACCTACTGAGCAGCCAACCTCTCTTGCCGCCAGAAAGCCGTGATCTTCGTCATATGCACATCACCGGTTGTTCTTTTAATATCCTCTCTTTCGCTTAGTTTTTTTTTTATTGGTTTTCGTACACATGTACATACATGCATACATATATATGGGCACAGTGTGTACATATGTACATAACTACATAAATATCAAATGAATCCGCCCATCGATTCTTAGATACTTATTGGGCTTAAAATAATTTTCGTATTATAATTAAATGATATTGGTTTTAATTCATATAGATACAAAAAGAAAACAAACAAACAGCACTTAACAAAAATTTTATACTCTTTTATGTTTTACAGATAAACGGTCAACAGCAGCAACAAATTTTATCGCCGTGCAGCACAATGCCAGCGATGCCCAAAGAAAAGGCCACCGCAGTATCGTTGAATGAAAATAATTTTAGTGAATTGAAATTGAAAGAATTATCCACATCCGCCACCGCCGCAACTGCCGTCATGGCCACCACGGCAACAAGTCGCATGCATCAGCATGCAGCCAACACCCCCCCCACACATCATCTTCCCTCTACAGTACAGACTACAACAACGTTGGGCACAGCGCCTCCGGCACAGCAGCATTGGGCGCAACGTCAAACACAACAACAACAACAACAACAGCAACAACATCTGTCACACCAGCAACCGCAGTCCCGCAACAGTGTTTGTGGCTGCGGCACTGCGTCCGCTATACCGGAGACGGTGGGCAGCATAAATCATGCCAGCAGCAAGTATTTGACAAATGGTAGGCATTATTGTTGTAGCAGCCAGCTAGCTTAACGCTCGAGCGTTCGTACTGAATTTTGTATACAACTTTTACTTCTTCAAATTGCAGGACATTCATCACCTTTGGCCGCCGCCGTTGCTTCAGCCCAGCAAAACGGTGCTACATCACCGCAGCATACGCCGACATGTTGTCGCTATCAATCGCAGCCGCAGCAGCAACACCAACAGAATGGATTTAATGGCGAACAGCAACCACAACCACAACCACAGTTTGCACGCACAAACAACGGGCTAGCAGGTGGTGGCGCAGCTGCACCCACCACCGCCGCCATCAACATCGCCTCGGCTCCCACACTCTGCGCCACAGCCTCAGCCTGCGCCGCATCGACCTCCCCCACAAATAATGTAGCTGTAACGCCGCCAAAGA